TAAAGGATGAATAGCATGTGTCACTGTAGCATTTCAATCTATTCTAGGTAAGATAAAAACATCACAAATGACACACACTCCACGCTCAATAGCCATGAAGTTAATTCATCAAGCAAATCAAACGTCCACGTGTCAGCTATCTGGTGGATTTAATTTTTTCTTGCTTCCTTTTGGTTCCGGAGCACTAAATGATGAAGAGTCTAGCAATTCAGCGTGCTGAACCGTCTCTAGCAGTGCAAACTCAAGACATAGAACTCCTGTCACATAACACAGGGACTCAGGTATGCGTCAACCTCACCTCAGCATAAAGTTTTGCTTTTAAGGTCTCTTTGTTTATAGGTGCTATTGAATTTAAGATTAGGATACGCCGCAGAAAGTAAGTTCTTTTCTGAATGATTAACAAATGTTCTTCAGAGAACTATCTAGAGTAAGGGGAGAGTAAAGGCTCATGAAAGAATCACTAAATAACTTGAAATATTTACCTAAGGATTAATTTAATTGCTACTTAGCTTACGGAGTTCTTAAAATGTAAGAAAAACACAATATTTTGGTCCAAATTTATTGGACTATTCTTTCATATAACCCTCTCTTTTATAGTCTCTCCCTCTGAGTGTTTTTTAAGATGATCAGTAACAATTAATTGGCAAAAAATAGTTAGAAAAACATCAAATATAGCTATTTTATGTCACGTTTTATATATTTGATCAAAAACCTAAATTTAGACTATTTAAGCAATCAAGATCTACAGTGTCTTGATAACTCTATTACAATAACAATGAATTCCTCCATATTCTAATGTCTGTAAGCATTCAGTGAAGAATTAACAGTGTGTGCTGGAACAAAAATTGTTTAGGGAAAGTATAGAACAATTAAATATGAATAGATTTTACATTAACAACAGCAGAAAATTAGTCATAGAGAATGCTAAGACTCTCAAGTGTAGTACTAATTTATATTGTCATACTCCACTTATGTTTCAATAACTGAATTTGTTCACCAAAGCAAGTAGGAATCATGTACTTCCACATTTTATGTATTATTCTATATCTAAGGATTTTTCCAGTTTAAAGACTCAAAATAGCTCACAAGAGCTAAGCTTACTGATTGCTGCTTTTATAATACAGAAAAACCTACTAAATATATTAAATTATATTAAAATTATAATTTTAAATTGTATTACAATTTTTGACTTACAAAGTGTTTCAAAATAATAAGTATTTTCAAACAATTACATAAGAATGATGATAGATTTTCTTCATGTCCTCTTCCATAAAACACATCAGAACACAGTGAAACTACTTGCCATTAACGCTTCAATATTTTAAAATCCCGTACTTTATCATAAATAGAAAATTTAAATTATGTGGAAAAGGAATATTCTCATATAATATTTAGCTATAATTAATAGATCTACCCTTTTCAGTCGATTTAAGGGAAGAGAAAACATTCCAAGCAACACACAGTCCTCCTCCGCACTCCACACATAGCAATGAAGGAATCCACCAAGCAGATCCACTCTCCACGTGTCCGCTAAATTGTGGCTTTAATTTTTATTCACAGTGCTCCACTGCTGAGTAATATCTGAGGGGACTTCAAAAATACGAGGGGAAAGTGGAATGGAAAGATAATGGAATGTTTCCATAAACATTTTGAAGCTCCTCATAAGAATGAAAACGGCCAAACTACAATATCAATTTTCATTCATGGCATTCATCTAATATTGATTTATATGAGATATTGCATGATCATCTAACATTGATTTATACAAGATATTGCATGATCATCCAAGCATTTTCCTTCACACAACTTGTCTCCACACCAAATGGTGAACATCTGGAAACACGTGCTCATGTTGGTAGTGAACTTAGAAATGTTTTATATTTATCATTAATTTATGGAATTACATGCATGTTGATGTCTTCTGAACATATGAACAAATCAAGGAATGAAAATTATTAAATGTAAAGTATCTTTTTATACAATGTGTTCCCTTCAAGAATAATTTGTAGAAATCTTTGCCATTGCATCTGCTGACTTGTTGCTGTTCTCTATGCACACCACAAGGCTTATATCAATTTCAAGAGTCTATAAAGAAGCATCGCAACCAGGCCATAGAAACCACCGTTAAGCAAAAATGTACAACGGTGACGGCACTGTGTATGTCTGTACACTTCTGAAAGCAGTGTTTTCGTTTCTCTAAAGGTCCCCTTAAGATTCCTGGGCTCTTTGATTCATACCGCATAAAAACTAGTTTTGGTATCTGTGAAGATCTTCAATTATGTTCTTTGTAAATGATTTTTGGGGGGCTGGGAGGACAATGAGGCTGAAGGGGAATAATAAACGGTTGGGTTTTGCAATGAAATCTCATAGAGCAGCTCCTGTTACCCTTGACAAGAAAAGGAAGTGCATTGCCTTGGTGCAATTTTCCTGTCCTTTATGTCACCAAAGCAGAATTCTATTTTCTTAAACATCCCAACAACAATACCCCATGATTGTTGTGCACTCTTTAAGAAATTCTGCTATTAAATCTTGGGGGGGGTGGTGTTAAAAAAATCTCCATCAACGTTTGAGCTGACCTCTCAGCCTTGAGCTTGACTGGCTTACTACATCTCCTTTGGAAGCGGCCAATTTGATCGAACCTTGTCTCTGAATCATCGTTGTTCATCCAAGCCTCAGCCCCCACCATGAGTCATCCTATTAAATTAGCTTCATTAGCTTTGAGCTTGCTTAAAAGACTGATGGAAGGAAAAGCTCTCTTTTTAGTTTCCCTTTTCTCAGCAGCCACTCTAACAAGACTGAGGCGAGTGTATTAGAGAGAATTTGTCTGTGGTCAACCAATGGTCACAGAGGCATATTTAAACACGCTTTGTTTGGAATAAACTCAAGCGTGTTAGAAATAGAATTCTAGGAGCAATACTTTTTTAATTACCCTAATAAATGCCAAGTATCGCTTATTGAAAGGAAGAAATCCAAATAATAAAATTGTATTTAACATAACAGGTTTAAATATTCCTTAGAAAATTTAAATTATGTTAGATGATATTTTTCTGTTAAAGAAGGACAAATTTTACAGTATGAAAAACAAGATTTTTTAACCAAAGTAAAGGATCACTATATTAAATGATTAAGGAAAAATCGTAGTGTCGATACTGTTAAAAATAAAAATCTTGATTCATGATTATTAACTCTTTTGTTTTTAAGAGGAAACTATATATGTTGCATTTTATTCTGGAAGGCATATACTTAGTTGGCCTTATAGTTCATCTTCTAAGTAATCCTGACCTTGAGCGTTTACAGCAAGTGTGATATTCCGGGTCCTATGGTGCAGATGAGGGGAAAAAACAAAGGTAGAAAACCCTTGTGAATCTTTAAATCATTCAGTAGTGGAGACAAGAGCTTCATTTCCTTCCAGCAGTCTCTCATTCTCTTTTATCCACATCAATTCCATCATCGTAATTTAGTTTGATCAAGTACAGCCACTCCATGTCTCTTTTAAAATGCTTTATGTACCCCATGAGTGATCTCACTAGAGTGAAATTATCCTGAAAAGGAAGAAAATAGAGTTTTCTGCAACTGGACAACACACCCATATTAGGAAGAGAGTCCCCCCGCCCCCAGATGATTGGCTAACTAATTTGTGACGGGCAGGTAGCAGTTTCTGAGTTAAGCTTTCCTGAGTGCGGACTTTGTGCCAGGTGTGACTTACAGAGCCTTCCACGTGATGGCAGGATTCCCAGGGCTTCTTAAGTGGGGCATTATTACAGTTTTTAGAGGCACAAACCCAAGCACAGGCAGCATAAGTGATTTGTCAGGTCACACAGCTAGAAAGTAATAGATCCAGCACTCAAAATTAGGTTCTCTGGAGCGAGCGTCTGCATTGGGACCCACCTGGGAAGACTGCCTGTCTTTTCATGAACACTCATTTCTCCTTTCAAAAATATCAAAGGCATTCTCACAAGCCGAGGGAGAAACGCTGTTAATAGACAGTGAGTTTGTCACTTTTGTCATTTATTTCCCAGGTTTTTGCATCTGCAAAAGGATTCCTCATATATGATATGCTCTCTGAAACCTCTCCTCTCTACCCAGCCTTCTCAACACCCTGATGCCCTAAGGCCTTGGCAGGCATAGGTCACAAACCCTAAGACTTTGGACATTCATAGAATCTTGTTTAGATAAAAGTAGAAAGCCTGGTTTCAGAACATTTCTAAATATGCATAACAACATAAGTGAAAAAAGAAGCACGCATTCTAAATATATGTACTGCTTTTAGGTATGACAATCAGACGGAATGAAATCGAATGAAATTTCAAAAGGATTGATAACTGAAATCCCACCCCAGAAAGCAATCGAACATCAGCAAAATCTCATTCCTTTTAAGGTCCATCTGAAAAGAAAATGTATGTTGGTACCCCACCCCCACCCCAACAAGCATATACAAATAAACAAACTAAGTACAACAAAGGCTTCTTTTTCCCGTGAGGCTATTCACTCCCTGATCTATATTTCCTGGTTTGCTGTTTGGTAACCAGGGTAGATTGTGACCTCGACGGATCCATCCATTCCCTTTCATTCCAAGAATCCATTCTCACATGCCGCTTTAAGCAACAACCAGTACTTCAGGCCAAGATTTGATTAAGCTCAGACCCACATAAGCAGCACAGAGGGGAAGCAAACACGAAAGAGCTGTTGGTTCTCGGATTTCTTTTTTCTTTTTGGCTCAAGTTAGCCTCCTTTTCTGGAACATGGTACCAGGTGAGCCTGTCTGTGCACTGATCTCACAAAATATTCCTTTTCCCATTAACAAAGGGAATAAATACTTCAGGAAGATGAAAAGGAAAATGGGGGGGGGGCGCACGAGCAAACAAACAAAAGAAAAACCCCTTTGCCCTGACGTTATGGAAAAAATAAAAAAAGACACTAAGATGAAAAAAAAAATAGTGTCATGGTTTACAGGTGGGATTTTGATGGAAGCTAGGGCTGTGTTTTGGTTCAAAACTCACCATCTCAAAACCACTTCGTTTCATCCGCCTGCAGGACTTGAGGTAAGTACGTATACGTTTTCTGGCACGTTCTTGATACTCAGGGAATTGTCGCCTGCATGAGTCAATGATAGCCTGGATCTTTTCTTTGGGCTGCTTAGAGATTGGGACCATTCGGTCCAAGTTTTCATCTACAAACAGCCTGACAAACATCTGTTGGCAAGAGGGAGACAGAGGAGAAGGGTTTGGAGGGCCGCTCTCGTCTCTTCCTAGCTTCCTGTCTTGATTACCGCTAGGAGAATATTCTTTTCTGGTTTATGCACTGGAGAACGTTGCAATGGAAAGCCAGGAATTTAAAGCAAACACTCATTTAAAGATTTTCTACAGGGTTGGATAAAAATTAGAGAGGAAAACAGAGAGACAGACAGACAGAAGAGAATAGACTATTGTGTAGAAAAATAATCAGGAAGTAACACTTGACTGTGACAATCAAGCAGCCCATAAAATTCTCAATTAATGATAAATAAAACTGCTACATTGTTACACTACACAGTGGACTAATCTCTGAAGAAAACAATCGACTCTTTGGTCATGCATAATTAGGTAAGCTGGAAAAGCAAATAAAAAAATAAAATAACTGATGATGGGCATACTCTTCTGATGGATAAGCTGAGGCCCCCTTCATCCACTGGTAAACATGCATACTCACACAACACAACTCCAGATTTCAGCTCACATTTGCCTTTAAAATTCTAAACAAAACACAGCAATTCTGGTGTCTGGTTGGCAAAGAGTGTTTCATGTACTTTTTAAATCCTTCTGTAAATTAAACAAACATGTCTCTAAAATATCCACAGTAACCAACAAGCAACAACATGAAAGTGAAGTGGCAAAAATGAAAGCTCCCGGCGGGAAGGTGGAAGGACTCACATTAAAGGCCTTCAGCCGCTCAGCCTCCACTCCATCTGTCTCATTTGCCTTTTCAGAATCCTCGTGGTCTTCATGGTCCTCTTCATCCTCGTCGCCCCTGGCTAGGGAGAGGTCCTCAGCACCTCTGTCGATGCTCTCATTTTTGCCAGAGTCGTAGCTTGAGTAACTATGTGCAGGAGACTGAAAAGAATAGGGACGTTTCAGCTCGGACTTTACTGCCCCAGACCACAAAGTGTGTACTCTATCGTTAGTTTCAACAGTTTCCCCCAAACTCTATGTAAATGAGTTGGTAGCTCTAGAGTTGTGGCTACTCAAAGTTCATAGAAATGGGTGACATGTTTCAAAGGGTGTCTTCAGTTACAATGGTCACATGTCTAGGGCCTCATAAGGAGCTCTGGTGGCTGAGGAGGCTACGCTTTGAGCTGTTAACCACAAGCTAAGCCCTTTGAAGTCATCCGTCCTCCCACTGGAGAAAGATGAGGCTCACGGCTCCCACAAAAAAAGAGTGTCGCAAACCCAAAGGGAGAGTTCTGCTCCATCCTATAGGTCACTATGAAGCAGAGTCCACTCACTGGCCGTGGATCTGTTTGGTTTTTGTGATGGCCGTCTGCAGCACTATCACCGCGGTCGAAGATTCTATTGAACCTTACTGTGCTGTAGCAATTACTACCTCCACTTATTACCTATATTCTAAAAATGGTCAGACCTTAGAAAATTTGCAGATGGTCACAGAATCACACTGTCCAGGAAATAGAAAACGTGTTAGGACTTCATCAGTTTAACGGTATCATTATTCTAAAAACAGATGAGAAAAATGAAGAATGGATATTTTGATTCACTTGTCCATTAAGTACTGTGTAGGCAGTCCCTGGGTTCCAAAGGAGACTCATTCCTGAGTGTGCAAGTCGAATTTTTTAGGTCAATTGGAAAAAGTGCATTTTGGGCTTCTTCTGCATCAATTATCAAATGTTTGTTTTAGTGTATAGTATATATTTTACTTTTTGATACATATAGAATACTAAGAGATACTTCCCAATATATTAAAACATCTTAAACATAATCCTATAGTATTTAATAATTACACAGCAGTAATAAAAATAACTATATGATGTCTGTACTAATGAGATGGAATCTGTGCATGAAAATATACAGTACTGGAGACAATATGAAAGAAACCATTCTTCACATTGTCTAGAAAACCACGTGTAGTACGTACATGGGAACTTGTAGAACGTCTTTCACTTTAATGTTTGTAAAGTTGCCCTCACTTTGAAATTGGATCACCATGAGTTAGAATGCCCTGGATGTCAGGGAGTTTGCTTCTGGTTTTAGCTTTGAAACAGGGCTTTGAACAGTTCCTATGACTGATAGAAACAAGGGCGATATTAACAAGCAACCAGATCCCTTAAATATCAGCTTCTGAATTTCATAGGGAACAGGTATTAACGCCTTGCTTAAAGATGGTGGCTGGCCACGGTCAAAGCATCAAGCTGGCTGCTATCCTCAAGTAGGGCCCTATTGCATGCTTCCTCCTTGTGTCAAATCCTAGCAGAAGACGCACTACATGGCCTTGCAATACATGTGCTGCCTTTGTTTCCATCAGCCACGATAAACTATTTCTAGATTTTCACATGATTTGAAATGATTTTTCCAATTTATCATTTATCAAATGATTTTCTGGATTTGAAATGATTCAACCAAACTTTATTCATAACAAATTGTTCACCACCATCACTTTTACTTGCTACACATGAAACTTTCAATAATTGAAAAGACTTTGAGCCTTTTCCTGCACGGAATGCTAACAGGCATATTACACACATTGTAATTACATAACCAAATTTCCAATAGCCGTTCGATTTCAGTAATTAAACCAGTTGTTCTGCAATCATTGTACTTTCATTGATGCATAGCCTTTCTTTCACATATGTCATCATTCTCACTTTAGTTTTGAAAATGGTTCTGATTGCGGACAGCCTGCAGCCTACTGCTTTGCCAATGACTGATGGCATTTCACCTCTTTCCAATCATACGATTATTTCCATTGTATCTTCAATCCCGGCTGTTCTCTTTTTCTTTGATGCAATACCAGCACTTGCTTCGGAGTGACGTTTTGGAGGCATGGTGACAAGAGGAACATTTGAGCTAAGTACCAAGTGATACATTCAGCACATTGTTAATGGCGAACGGATCTGACTTAAAAAGGCAGATGTTTCTTCTTCCTCAAGCTAACAAAGCTTGGGAAGCTAGAAATCTATTGTCCCAACACGATTTTGTGCTACCTCGTCACCATACATTTGTCAGTTTGTCACGCTGCAGCTACTTTTGCGTTGCTATGATGCTGGAAGTATTTCAAATACAAGTAAGTTTTTAAATACCATAGTGCTCGGGTTTGGGTAGAGCTTCTAGACTAAGACAGGCTAGGAAGAACAGCAGAGTGAGCTACTTTCGAAAATCAGTCCTTTAATCACAATGCAATGTTGTGCGTTCTGAAAGATGAGTCTTCTAGGTTGGAAGGCACTGAAAATAGAGGCCACAACCATGAACTTGACCTTATGGCAACACATGGCTCTATTTGACCAGGTGTGTTGCCCTGAGTAGGAGATGATTAGATGGCAACTCACAGCAACAATGCTGTGCACATTTAAAATAGGCCAGTGCTTAAAATGAATAATATAATCAGAAGGAATTAATTTCTAAGACTTTATGTCTTGGCACCAGTTTTTAAAAGAGAAGTGTCTTTGAGATGACACATGTTAAATCCCTGTCATTATTTAACATCTGTCTGTGAATCTGCTATTCAAATATTAGGTCGGCACACCCTGAGCAAATCTAACGGGAAACACGTTCTTTGTTTAGGTTGGAAGCTATTTAACAATGTTTTATATTCATGTGGTGTATTGAAATTTACATGGAGCTTTTCCATCTGCATAACTGAATGTCACAGCAGAACTGAGAGTGATATTAATATGTCCACATTATATTTGACATAATTAGTATGTAGCAACTTTAACGGACTGGGTTAACCTTAGACATTAAGAGAGGTCGTAAAGCTAGAAGTTAAGTAGAGACCATTCATTCATCACTGGTGGATAAATCTACGTGAGGTTTGAGTGTCAGAGGCCAGGGAAGTTATCAGAAATAATCAGAATGTCAGATATCAGAATCAGTGTGGGTTCTAAGTGTATAAAAATAAATGCATAAAAGAATATGAATGCTAATAAAGATAGTTTTCATAAATGTTTATGATGTGTCCCAGGCCAATATGAGCTCTACCATAGTATCTCATATTTCTTTGTGATCCATAAACTGCCTCTCTCTCTATGATGTTAAAAAGCCAGTCCTGGGCATATATACCTCAATTTCACTTCTAGAGAGAGCGAGCTTGCTGGAGACTAAAATTAAGTTGAATCCAAGAAACTGAGTGTAGAACGAGTCCTTTTTAAAACCATTGTTATTGGCATATCATGTATGATATAATTTAACAGTTTAAATATATTTAAAATGGTTGTGAAATCATCACCGCCATCCATTTTAGATCAATCTCTTCATTCTTGCATCCATTGTTATTAGCTGCCCGTTTCCCCCCAACCACCCCTGTCATAACCATAAGGAGTTAATAATTTAGGTTTACCTATCTTGGATTACATATGAAGGAAAACTGTACAAGTGAACAAACAATAAAATAAGCAAAAAGTCATTAGCTATGGCAAAATAAAACAGATCAACTTAAAAAAGAAAAGCAAAAACATAATAATTAAAAACTAAAACAAGTTGAAACTGGATCCAGAGAGAAGACAAGTGGTGAGACGTTAAACTTTAATCTAACTATAGCTGCAGCAGTCCGTTTCTCCAGTGCTCTCTGATGACAAATATGCTCAGATCCCAGTCAATGATCTGAGGGAGTTTAACAGAGACTTAGTCTACCTGGCATCCATGCAAATAGACTTCTGGCATTGTCAACAATAGCCTTCTGCAAATCAGATATTCTGAATTTCAGGTCTAATACCATTCCCATCTGTGATCTAAAATTTTATTATTTATGATCCTTGACTCATAAAAGGCTGGTATGCTTCGTCCATGTGGACTTAGATGACACTTCACTTAGATAGCTGCTTCTTTTAAGATAAGCCTTTAAGATCCCCAAGATGATTCTTCCTGTTAGCCAGGTGTTAATTTGTTTGGGTTTTTTTGACCACACTTTGCTCTTGCACCCATATCTTCAATGATCACTTCAGAAGATAAAGTATTGAGCATGGCCATATTGCAAAAGCTTATTGTTCTTAAATTAAGGCTCACAATTAAGTGTGTACTCAGAATCTATACCTATATCTATCTATCTATCTATAATCTATCTATCTATCTCCTTGGCTCACTTTAGAGGTAGCATTATCAGCTTCTTGAGAAATAATATAATTAACCTACAGGGGACACATGGTATTTCTACTACTAGTATCATTAATCTAGTCAGTGGTATAGGGTAGGAGTTCTGATGACATCATTTGAGCATATGGACCCAACTGAAATTAACTCCTATACTGTTCATTACTGTATTAGCACATATGCCTATATCTTTTTTTTTTTTTTAATAAAGTTTGATTTGGGTTTGGTCACCTTCAATTGAATCCTGAGTGGTACAAAAATCAACTATTACAGGGCAAAAACAACAGCCAGATTTCACATATAATAACTTGGATACAAAAATTGCCTCAACTAAATAGAATCCATCTCTGTCAACAGCAGAAACTATCATCAAATCTTTCAACAGTGCTTTGGAATGCCCTTTACAACAGGGGATATTAAGTTGACTCTGTTAGACAGGGTTCTCTAGAAAAACAAAAGCAGGACACATGATTATATATATGAATAGATATATACAATATGGAGAAATAAACAGCTAATTATCCCATAGAGCAGTACAGAAGGCTCAGTTCAACTCACTTCTGTGATATAGTTAATATACTGGAGGTCCTTCAACTCACAAGTGCTGCTGGGTGCAAATCAAGGAAGCAGACAGCCAAGTCTTCTGTAAGATAATACAGGAAGTCTGGCCACAGGCAGCAAACAGCAGGGCAGGTCACCAACAGTCAGCCAGATGACAGGGCCCAACAGTCCCCAACTCAAGTGATGTATACACCAGCACTATGGTGAAGCAAGTCTCGAAGGAACCTCAAACTATA